ATGCTGTAAAAGTCTGGACGAAGCCTGATGCTTAATTGGGAGATTCCAGACTATCCAGATGAGCAGCAGGCTTCATGGGGGCTGGGCGAAAAAAGAGAGATTATGCAGAAAGATCTGCCCCAGACATGAAGCTCAGGCTGGAGATCCCCCAATTCCTACTGGAGCAGCAAGAAGCTGTATTGTATCAAGGATGCTCAGCTGGGAAGCTGCTTGCCTTGGGAACCAGCTGAGCATCTGGCTGCAGGGAAGCCATCAGACTGCAAAGTTAAGGAAGCTGGGGAGGGGAGCCACAGGGCTACCTGAATGCCTGATGCTGGAGCTATGTATGGTGCACAGCTTTGGGGGTTCATATCGGAGGCCTGAAGCAGCAAGCACAACAAAGGAACAAGAGGGTTAGGAAGCAAGCAGCTTTGAGGAGCCAAAATTCTGCTCCCTGCTCAGAAGTGTTCTTTGGAGCAAAAAGATCTCTAAGCTTTGCTGGGTTGCAAGGGCTGAAGCAGACAGGAGCCCTGGCTTCTCTCTGCTGTGGGCTGCTATTGATGAGTGGGTTGAGCTGGTTAGGACAGGAGGCTTGGCAAAACAACTAGCAGGGGAATGCATTGCAATTTTCAGGAAGAGTTTCAGGAGACCCACTGAAAGACAACTTTCTGGGCTCTGTACCCGGCCACAGGAGGGTAGTGTAATTGAGTGCTTCAGAGGAGAAGGAAAGTGGGATCTGGTGTACCTAAGAAATGCAGCTCTAGGGAACCTCATGCTCCTGGGAGATGGGAAACAGCTTAAAACAAGCATGGAGTCTCAGCATTAGAAGGAGAGCGGTGTCAGTGGTTGCAAGCTGGAGTCAGCAAGAGCTAGGACTCCCAGGTTTTGTTCTTAGCTCTGGCTGAGGAAGGGGAAATAGATGTGTAACAAACACCAGGATTTTTCAAATGAAGCTTCTGGGGTTACTAAGTGGGAAGCAGATGCAGCCAAGCTTTGAGGGGACTTGTTGCTAGCTTTGGAAGTGTGGTGGATTTTAGAGCAAATGGATTTCAGGAAACTGGAGTGGACTGGATAGGTTAGAGAGTTGGTAGCTCTAGCCACCATATTCTGTCTAAGGTTCTCTACAGACCAGGAGGGACAGCCTCACCTTTGCCAGCTCAGTGCAGAAATTGTCAGGAACGTGGAAATAAGCATTCTGTATCAAGCTATTGCCGATGGCTTGGTAGAAAGCAAGAAAAAACAGCTATTGACTATTCTAATTCTATCCACATTTTGGAAGGAAACTGCGACATATTGGGGAAGGAGGTCGTGGTGGGAGTTGAGGTTCTATCAGATTGGGTTAGCTGAGTGCACTTGCATTTAACACTCTGGCAGACTGGCTGCTTTTTTCTTGCAGAGCTTCCATGCTTTTAGCAGTAGTCTAGCAGGCAGAAAATCAAGCAGTGAAGCTGTCCCCACCACTCCCTCTCCACTCCTGCACCTGCTGAACTTCTGCCTGTTGGGGATACATTAAAGGCTCAAGGGACTTGGCCGGGGGAAGGAACCACACCAGAATGGCTGGGATATAGGATTGCCACCTCATTTTTCCTGCACGTGCTCCTGTGCCTTTAACAGCAGCCTGACGTGCACGTATTTAGCAGGGGAAACTATTCCTGGCATTGGAAATGAGCAAGAAGAAAACCTTCCTTTGCTGAATGTGTGCGTGTGTCAGGCTGCAGTGATTAAAACAAAATGCCCCAAATATGTGACAGCAACCATAGGAAGTAATACAAAATCACTTGCGGCTTTAGGTCTCTATCAGGGCAAAATTACTCTGAGAGCAACAGGCAGAGGCTGACTCAAAGTAAATCCCTAACCTTTAGAATTGTCAGTCTGTCCACACATAAGGGGGAAGGCCTTTTGTCTTTTTTCAGGCAGACTTGGGGCCTCAGCCTCTTCTTCTTACAAAATTCAGCAGGGCATAGCAGTGGTCCAGCTCAGGTGGGGTGGTATCCAGAGATTCTCTAGATCTCTACTGGTCATAATAATGCTGACCACCATGGCATAAAATCTCCTGGTTTCTTCAGGCTACCATACTGTTAAAGGCAGAGGAGCTGGACAGACTCTTTCACCCTGGTCAGCTGGCATCCCTAGCTATGGACTAAGATCAGGGAACATTAGCAGGGCCGTATGAGGAGAACCCAAGAGGCAAGTCCCATTTGAGGACCTTAAAAAAATGCTGAAGTTGTGGCAACTACAGGGTGCGGCATGGCCCCAAAGACAATGTAATTCTATGGCTGGATTTTATCTGTTGTGGATTCGTCTCTTCTTGATTTAATCATTTTACTGACTTGTTGCATGGTTGGTTTTAATTTTGTCTATTTTATAACATATACTACTGGGAAATTTTTATTATTATTATTCATAAGCTGAATAGTTGAACATCCACTTTATCCAGTAGGAGGAAATTATTGGGTCAATGTTTTGTCATTTGTGGAGTAGGTTGGGCCTATAAACCACCAGCTGCTGATACCCCGTAGAATAGTTGATCTTACACACTTAGAACTCCAAACGAGTTGCAATTGGCTGTACAAACTGATTTGGCTTCACCTTCCTATTATTACTGCCAGCTAATGATGTTCAAATATTCTCTAATCACAGTTTGCTTGCCTTTCCATTTTTTCTTCTTCTGTTGACCGCTGCTTTTTGATTGTCCCCTTACCCAGTTTCAGTCAAATTTGTATGTGAGGGGGCGCTAAGAAGGACAGCTGCAACCTGCAGCTGGTGCTGAACAAAGAGGAAGTGAGAGAACTCGCGCAACTAAAAGGAGGCCTGGAATTTTGAGATGTGGGCAATGCCAGCCAAAAATGCCACTCGAGAGAGTGAGAAACATGCACTAGCTCAAGATATAAGTCTATCAATGTTCAAGGAAGCTATGACACATTCACACCATACATTTAAAGCACTTTCATCCCACTGTTTCATGGCTTCCCCTAAAGAAGCCTGGGCACTGTAGTTTAAGGGTGCTGGGAGCCGTTAGGAGACCCCTCAGAGAGCTACACTTCCCAGCATTCTTTGGGGGAAGCCATGACTTTTAAGGTGATGTAAGAGCACACAGGGACGCAGGTGGTGCTGTGGGTTAAACCACAGAGCCTAGGACTTGCCGATCAGAAGGTCGGCGGCTTGAATCCCCGCGACGGGGTGAGCTCCCGTTGCTCGGTCCCTGCTCCTGCCAACCTAGCAGTTCAAAAGCACATCAAAGTGCAAGTAGATAAATAGGTACTGCTCCAGTGGGAAGGTAAACGGCATTTCCGTGCGCTGCTCTGGTTCGCCAGAAGCGGCTTAGTCATGCTGGCCACGTGACCCGGAAGCTGTATGCCGGCTCCCTCGGCCAATAAAGCGAGATGAGCGCCACAACCCCAGAGTCGGCCACGACTGGACCTGATTTTCAGGGGTCCCTTTACCTTTACCTTTAAGAGCACTTTAAGTGGATGGTGTGGGTGTGACTGTGTTCCTAGCCAAGTGCATTCAGGACTGCAGCTATAGATCTTGAGCCAGAATTCAAATCTTGATTGCTTCATCCCACTGGTTTCGGTTAGATGAAAGGGGCTTAAATCTAAAGACTTGGTCTCAGGTGAATGGTGCATCAGCCACCAAAGAGAAGTCGTTATTACCTTGGTTCAGGAGTAACACCAAGGCAAAAATCGGGGGTAGCTCCACAGCTAATGCTTTTCCCACTGTGGCAGGAAATCTGCAAGCTGCTGAAGTTTTTCTCGCCAAGCGGAAGTCCAACAGCACCATCTTGGCCTAAGGCTCCACACCTCCTAGTGGACAGGGAGACCTTGTGCTCACAGAGGTGGTGAACGTATATCTGAGTAGTAAAACATAGCATAAGCTCTTTCATTTAAAAACAACAAGAACCCTGCATTATCTTTAAATAGCACTCTTTTAAACTAGTGGGGAGCTTCATGTTCAGGTGACACATGTGCCCCTCCAAGCCCCTCTGTCTGACTTTTACAACTGTCCTCAGACCTACCCTGTACCATTTCTTGAATGATTTTTTTTGCCTGGTTGGAATATGAATTGTGATCATGGATTTTGCTTACTTGGATGGGGAAATGGGGGGATGTGTGCACTGCAATCCTCTGACTTTTCTACAGGTAGAATGCACCAAGGTAAGAACTGCATCTGTTGCTCTGCTCACCTGTGTTGCTTTTGGCTTTGGCTCCGCCTGTCAATGGCACGAGGCCCAAGAAGATTGGTTGCAGCAGAATGTGGCACTCAAGCTACCATGGCTTCCCACCTTTTCCTGCCAACTTCCAGTTTCCTTTAGGCATAGGCCAGATGCAGGGACAGCGAGGCCAAAACTGCACCATTTCTTCTGATTGCTTTTACCAAACCACATACTCCCACATTCCTTCCCCTTGGCCATGAATGGGTGTTCGCTCACATCTCTCTCTCTCTCTTTTAATCAATGTAGAATGCGAAATGCAAATGTCTCCTGCATGTTTAGATAACTGACAAACTTAAGGCCAAAAAGTTGAAATTAATTATTCACTGAATAACAGCGCTATTGCAGCTGAATGACATAAGTATTAGGAAAACTCAGAGAGAAACGGTCTATCAGTGGGTGTTAAAACAGGGCTGCATGTATTCTGCAAAGAATTCAGAATCCTAAGCTTATTTTAAAAGAACATTTATAGCTGAGAAAATCAGCTTGAAAGTGATACATCAGCACAACATATATCTCCTTGTCCCTTCCTCTAACAAACAGCAGAGATCAATCATGCAGCATTCTTAAATCCAGCCAGGACTGGAAATGGTTGACAACGGCAGAACTCTCCATGAACTTGGGCACGCCCGAGAATCTTTCAGGACAATGCTCTACCTCAAATGAGGTGATGAGATCCTGTAACCCACACTCAGCTGATGGAATCATAGAAAAGTAGAATTGGAAGGGACCCCCAAGGGGCATCTATTCCAACCCCCTGTATTGCAGGAACACACAAGCATCCACATTGGCTGGACAGCGTATACTCAAAATGTCTTTCTCTTTCATTGCAGCAAGTGCCACAGCCCCGACGGTTTTCCCATTGCCTCCCTGTAGCCAAGATGACGACACCGCCTCCCAGGTCTCCATAGGTTGTCTGGTCTCTGGCTACTTCCCTGAACCAGTCACAGTGCAATGGAATTCAGGAGCCATCTCCAGCGGCATCCGAACCTTCCCTGCCCTATTGGATTCATCCAGTGGCCTCTACACTCTCACCAGCCAGCTCACCATCCCAACCAGCACCTGGGAATCGGAGAAGCTTGAATGCAAAGTCGCCCATGCAGCTACCAGCTCTGAAATCACCAAGGAGATTGAGCGTGAGTCTGGCTTGGCCATCGTTATCTGCTTTCTTTTTGACCCTCAAATGGACACTCAATATGGTGAAAGAAAGGAAAGCGAAATACTTTGGTGGAGAGAGTTGGGGAATAGATGCAATATTTTTGGGTGGCGCTATTGTCTGGTAAGGGATGCGGGTGGCACTGTGGGTTAAACCACAGAGCCTAGGACTTGCCGATCAGAAGGTCGGTGGTTCAAATCCCCGCAATGGGGTGAGTTCCCGTTGCTCAGTCCCAGCTCCTGCCAACCTAGCAGTTCGAAAGCACCTCAAAGTGCAAGTAGATAAATAGGTACCGCTCCAGCGGGAAGGTAAACAGCGTTTCCGTGTGCTGCTCTGGTTCGCTAGAAGCGGCTTAGTCATGCTGGCCACATGACCTGGAAGCTGTACGCCGGCTCCCTCAGCCAGTAAAGCGAGATGAGTGCCACAACCCCAGAGTCGGTCACGACTGGACCTAGTGGTCAGGGGTCCCTTTACCTTTACTTTATTGTCTGGTGCCAAGGCACATTAAGCAGGCAGCGCAAGAAATGGTCTCTGCCCAACATGGCTTACAACTGAAATGTGGGGGTTGGGGGACAGAGAGAGAAAGCTTGGAATTGCTCATTCAGTGCCAGACGTGGGGTCAGGAAAAAGCAGGTTCAGAAGTCAGGGGCAAGTTGGAGAAACACCCAGAGGCAAGTTTTTTTGTTGTTTTTTAAAGAAATGTTTATTCAAGTTTTACAAAAAGAAAACATAAGTTTACAAAATAGAGAAAATTATAACAACAATTAACGAACTAAAAAACACACATAGGAAAAAGAATAAAAAAGGTACAAAATACAAAAAACAGATAGCTGAAAAGAAGAAACTTAAAAAGAAAATATATCCATTTTTCAATATCTTTGGGCTCATTTACTTGTTTCCTTGACCCCCTCACACCTCCCCTTTTTGTATTCCCATTTACAAAAACATTTCAGCAAATCCTTACCCTCTTTCATTTATCTTTACTCTATATCTTAACTTATTTTAACTTTATATTTTCATCCATTATCCATCCATATTTACATGTTCTTATTAATCTTGTAGCCAATACCACTTATTTTCAATCCAACATCATTTTAACATTCATTAATTTTACAGTATTTCTGCAAATAGTCTTTAAATTTCTTCCAATCTTCTTCCACCGACTCTTCTCCCAGAGGCAAGTTTTTTGAATACATTTCAAGGTGGCTATTTATTTTAAAATTCTGTTTTTGCTGCTTTATTCTGGGAACAAAGTTACAAATATTAGTAGTGTACACACAGTGTTTGCTGCCGTGGGCATTCATGACCTCCACCTTTAATATCTTATATGAGTTGTCAAGCTGTAGAAGGAGTGAAGTGAATTAAGGGGGTGGATATTCCTGAGGCCCAATCACTTGTAATGATGGAAGGAATGGCTAGGATTGATCACCCTGTGCTATCCTTTGTGCTGAAGCAGGCAAGGCAAAGCATGATAGCTACAGGGGGGAGGCAAGCTTTGAATAGGGATACAGAGTAGGAAAACAGCACATTTCTGAGTGAGTGTTCAAAACATTGGGATCATGATATCAAAAGGAGGGAAGAATAGTAATAGGAGAATCAAAAGATGTCAATGGCAGATGAGCTAGTGGTCACTCACCCTCCAGTCTTCTAACTAAGTGGATTCCTCCATTTGGGTCTCAGCGCTTACGCTGAGTGGTAGACAAGTAGCGTCCTATCAAATCTGTCCTTCTCTGGATTTTGCAAAGCAGTTCTCCAGCCAAGTAATATGTACAAAAATGCATCAACTAAGGGGAAATGTGCCCAAAAATGGATATATGATATGAATAACATAAAAATCCATCATATTGGGAGCACTGCTTAGCAAAAATGTTTATATTATGCAAAATTGCATACAAAGGTTTGTATGTTAGGAGAAATTTGGATTAAAATGCACACAAGTAAGACCTTGTTTTTTTAAAATAGTTGCAAACTGATGTGGAGAACTGGGAGAATAAGAAACTAAGAGGAAACCGAAACTGACAATTTCACCCATCCCTACCTCTCATAAATTATACCCTTCCAGGCTCTATTGCACTACCTCCAGTGGCCCCAGAAGTCCGCCTGCTCCATTCCTCTTGCAAACCCAGATCCAGTGATGCCACCATTGAGCTGATGTGCGTGATCTCTAGCTTTTACCCCAAAACGGTGGCAGTGGAATGGCTGGTGGGTGGGCAAGCTGGGCTCTTGGCTTCATTCACTGAGCAGCCCAGGAAAGATGCCCACGGATACACCTTCAGCACCACAAGCACAGTCAACGTCAGCCAAGAAGACTGGCAGGCTGGGAATGTCTACCACTGCCAGGTGTTCCACGAAGAAACCCAAACCAAAGTGAAAAGCAAAGCCAAGATATGTGAAGGTAGGAAAGGTTGGCTGAGCTGGCACTTGTGTTTTCCTCTGTTTTGCTGGGCACGGACTGGAATGCAAAGGGGAGGAGGACAACAGCTTCCAGAATATTGAGAATCCTCTCAAGTATGTGATAATAATTTCAAGACAGCCTCCTCCCTAATTCATGTCTATATAAAGGTACCCCTGCCCGTATGGGCCAGTCTTGCCAGACTCTAGGGTTGTGCGCTCATCTCACTCTATAGGCCGGGAGCCAGTGCTGTCCGCAGACACTTCCGGGTCACGTGGCCAGCGTGACATCGCTGCTCTGGCAGGCCAGCGCAGCACACGGAACACCGTTTACCTTCCCGCTAGTAAGCGGTCCCTATTTATCTACTTACACCCGAAGGTGCTTTCGAACTGCTAGGTTGGCAGGCGCTGGGACCGAACGACAGGAGCGCACCCCGCCGCAGGGATTCGAACCGCCGACCTTTCGATCGGCAAGTCCTAGGTGCTGAGGCTTTAACCCACAGCGCCACCTGCGTCCCTCATGTCTATATAGCTGCTTTCAATTAAGGCCCATTGAAATAAGGCTTTGCCCACTGCCTGCCATGTCCACATGACCTTACTGATAGTGTTGCTGGATGGCGGCTAATGGATTGAAGTTGAATCCTGACAAGACAGAAGTACTGTTTTTGGGGGACAGGGGGTGGGCTGGTGTGGAGGACTCCCTGGTCCTGAATAGGGTAACTGTGCCCCTGAAGGACCAGGTGCGCAGCCTGGGAGTCATTTTGGACTCACAGCTGTCCATGGAGGTGCAGGTCAATTCTGTATCCAGGGCAGCTGTCTACCAACTCCACCCAGTATGCAGGCTGAGTCCCTACCTGCCCGCGGACTGCCTCGCCAGAGTGGTGCATGCTCTAGTTATCTCCCGCTTGGACTACTGCAATGCGCTCTACGTGGGGCTACCTTTGAAGGTGACTCAGAAACTACAACTAATCCAGAATGTGGCAGCTAGACTGGTGACTGGGAGTGGCCGCCGAGACCACATAACACCGGTCTTGAAAGACCTACATTGGCTCGCAGTACATTTCCAAGCACAATTCAAAGTGCTGGTGTTGACCTTTAAAGCCCTAAATGGCCTCGGCCCAGTATACCTGAAGGAGCGTCTCCACCCCCATCGTTCTGCCCGGATGCTGAGGTCCAGCGCTGAGGGCCTTCTGGTGGTTCCCTCATTGCAAGAAGCAAAGCTACAGGGAACCAGGCAGAGGGCCTTCTCGGTAGTGGCGCCCACCCTGTGGAACGCCCTCCCATCAGATTTCAAAGCGATAAACAACTACCTGACATTCAGAAGACATCTTAAGGCAGCCCTGTTCAGGGAAGTTTTTAATGTGTGATATTTTAGTGTTTTTTGGTTTCTATGGAAGCCGCCCAGAGTGGCCGGGGAAATAACAAATAATAAATTATTATTATTATTATTATTATTATTATTATTATTATTATTACTCTGCCGCAAGGAGTGGCAAGCCCCTAAAACAGCAGAGAAGTGGGGGGTGGTTAGAGAACTAACATGAAGTTTGCGTCTCCAGATAATGCTGAATGCCCCTCCAGCGGCATTAATGTGCACATCATACCCCCAACGCCACAAGACCTGTATGTAAACAACGACCCCAAGCTCACTTGTGTGGTGGAGAATCTGGAAAACGCAGATGGGCTGAAAGTCACCTGGTCACGAGCGGATTCTGGACCCGTGAGCCCAGAACTACTGGAAGTGAAAGAAGAACGTAATGGAAGGTTCACTGCTACCAGCTCCCTCCCTGTCACCACGTGGCTGCAGGGTGAGAAATTCACCTGCAATGTGGAATATCCAGGCTTGACTGCTCCCATCACTAAGACCATTGCCAAGACAACAGGTAAGGGGGGGAACAGAGTTGGTCTCCCATCCTGGGGCTGGTGTCCTTGTGTTCCAGCAGGAAAGAGAATACTTAAACACGCAGCACCACTTGGCTCATCTGTGATTTACACTGCGGACACACTTTGCAATTTCACACAGTCTGGTGGGGGTATTGTGCAGGTTTGCACAATCATTCTACACTTGTCTCTGCTCACAGGTTTTTATGGTGCTTGAAAACACACAACACCACTTGGCTCATCTGCAATTCACACTGGAGACAAACTTTGCAGTGGCAAAGGAGGTCTGGAAAACCATTCCCCTTTGCTCACAGGTTTTTATGGTACTTGAAAAACCTGCAATGCATTTTTTTTTATTATTAGAAGGCAACTCTTGGACCAAGGGAGGGGGAAGGGTGCGTCCCCCACAGGGGTCAGTGACTCTCACATAACAATTTTCATTCCCATAAAACTATTGCCATCTCCACTCTATTGATATTGTTTCCCCAGCACTGATTGAACCTTGATGAAAGATCGATCTGGTTCTGTTGAAAGCAGTTCTTCATGCACTTTCCCTGATGGCTCGGTTCACACATTGTGGAGCTACCTGGGTATCTGCTGTGCAGAGGTTGCTGCATGAGCATTGCAAGATTTTAAACTATGCCTGCCTTTTGACCCCCAGGCATGCAGGAACTTGAGCATACCAATAACTTCTCAGTAAAGGCTGGGATTCTGTGTGCTGCATGATATCCATATATATATTGGGAAGCGGGGCTGTGGGAATCTTAAATCACTGCTATCTCATGTAGTTCAGATAATATAATTGGCTAGTTGGGATAATTATTGGGAACATGCTGCTGCTATGAAGTGTGTGTGAACAGTCCGCAATGACCCTGTCTGGAGTACCTATGTTCAAGACAACAAAATCACAGTCTTTCCCTACAAGACCCTCATTCTCAACATTGCATTCACTAATTTGGCTTAATGTTAATAATTGTTGCTTCCTCCATTTCTCTCATACATTTTGCCCCCTCCTCTCAAAAAGGCACGAGAACCCCTCCCGGAGTGTTCCTCTACCCCCCTCACCACGAGGAAATCAACGCTCAGCCAGCAATGCTGACCCTCACCTGCCTGGTCACAGGATTCACCCCAAAAGAAGTTTCTATCCAGTGGCTGAGGAATCACAATGCCATGCCTGGAGACCATCATGTCAACACTCCGGTCATAAAGGACAACAAGAACGACTCCTACTTTCTATACAGCCACATGAAAATCCCATTCGCTGACTGGAACAACGGAGTTTCACACACCTGTATGGTTATCCACGAAGCCCTCCCCATGAAGTTCACCCAGAGGACCGTGGAGAAAACCCAGGGTAAAAAATGATGACCATCCCTCCTACGGCATTGCAACCTCTTCAGCCTCTCCCAGATTTTTTCTCTAGCGTTGTTAGAAAACCCTATGTAAATAATTTCCATGCGTGCATGTTTGGCCTATGGCTGAATAAAAAGAGAACCAACTCAGAGATATCCCATGTTGTGGTCATTTGCAGGGGAATCAATGACTGGGGTGGGGTGGGTGTGTTCTGGAAAGCAAGGAGAGAATGGATTAAGGGGGTCTTCATGATATTGGAAGCAAAATGTATTCGCCATTATCAGAGCTATGCCATGGGGAGCAGGGAAGTTGCAAAGGTCAGTATATGTGTAGTTTTACTGCTCATAACAGGCCCTTGCTATGTCCCAGAAGTGAGAGTGATTTGGTCCAAAGACACCCAGTGAGCTTCATCTAATTAAGTGGTGATTTGAATCTGGGTCACCTTCCACCGGGCTCAAGTCCAGCATCCTGTCATTTGCTCCACGCTGACTTCCATCTACACATGTCCACACACAGGAAGCTACTCTCCTTTTAACGTCTGGTGCTGAAAACAACAAAGAGGCTGTTGTAACATTAAAGAGGAATATTTATGTACCCGTCTCTCCCACAAAGATTCTGTTACAGATCCCCCTCAACCCCATTACCACCAACACCATCAGTGGCTTTGCCACGGCCTCAACTGCCCCACCAGGTCTCAGCTCCTGAATGGAATTGTTGTTCAAACTATCCAATCATGGCAGAGGCTGCAGTGTTCACTGCAGGCCCAGAAACAGTATTATAACTCAGTGTTCTGTGTATTAGAAGCTGATATATAATATACAGCAGGAAAAGAGGCTGTAAAGGACAGTATAAACAAGCAAAGAAGCAGCAGCAACAGAGCAAGGGGAGCAGAAAATAAAGCAGGCCCAAGATGCTAACAGGGCTCAAGTAGCTCATATAGAGGTGACAGATTTAGATACATTGCAGCATATGTGGGGAAAACATGAACCCATATATATAAAACAAGGGAGTGAAAATAAAAGGGCTGGGGAATGGCGGACATGATTGTAGAGAAACAAGAGCTAAATGCATTTTTAAACATATACCAATAGTAATGATAATGATAATTTTAAATCTGAAACATTCGCCCAAAATCAAAGCCAAAGCCTCGTCTGCTAATTTTGCCTTCTTGATATGAAAATATACATATAATATGGAGAGACCTGCCCATATTAGAAGATCAGTGGGAAATTATTTTGCAATGCCCTTCTCCTTCTCCGTCTTCCCCAAATCAGGAAATATCTTACAAGATGTGAGAAGCTGACTTTTATTGAGCCTCATCTGCCCTCCTTCTCAGCCTAATGCTTGTCACTCTGACAAGCTCTTCAAGCTCCCCTTAAATGTTCTTATAGAAGCAGTTAAGAGAAGCTGAGACGAATGCATAGATCTCATTGCAGTTGTTGCCTGTGATCACTATTTGAAACCCTCCTTTTCAGAGGCGCTGTGGCCTCTGAATGCCAATTGCTGAAGACAAACTGACAGTGGAGGGCGAAGGTCTTCATGTGGCACCAGACCGGCCACTGTTGGACGTGCTTAGACAAGATCCTTCATCAAGGTTGCGCCTGTTCACATGCTCAGAGCAGACCCATTGGGATTAATGAATATGACTAACTTTGGGCCATTAATTAAAACAGGTCTGCTCTGAGAAGGACTAGTATTGAGTGCAACTGATGCAAAGTACACTCTCTACCTCAGAGCTAGAACCTCAGTCCAATAGGAGGTACAGAGCTTATCTGGATGGAGGTGGAAGCACAGGTGTAGGCAAAGCACCCTGTGGGAAGTTAGCTCAATGGAGAGCAGCAGCAAACTAGGCATAGGGCCAGAAAATAGTCAGCCGTCGTCTGGTGCAACAGACATGCACACTCACCATTGAAACATATACCCTCCCTCCCCCATCAATTCACATTGTCTGGATTGTTGTGCATTTCAGTGAGAGAGCAGAGAATGCACAACACCTGCATTGCCTGAAAAACAGTGAATAATTTCTGAGGGCCAAGCTAAAAGTGATACCTTGTTGAGTGGGGCATTTGCGGGGGGGGGGGGGGCTGTGGTGCACAAAAAGAAGTTTCCTCCTTCACAACCCCCTGCCATGGTATCTATAGAAGCTTATGGCAAATTACAGCCACAAGGAATGATAATGTTCATCAGGACTGCATATAAAATTACCTCCCTTTGCACCAGGGTCCTTAACAAAACTTGGCCCTCAAAGCTGGCTATCTACTACGTAAAAACAGAAATATGTCAAATTCAAATAACACATTTAACCTAACATTGTGTTTTATCGATGTTGTTTTAAAAGCTGCCTTGAGTCCAGGCCTGGTGGAAAGACATGATATAAATAAATCAATATAATAATAACAGTAACAGTAATAGTGATAATAAACCTAGCTTGACTCTAAATATGACTGAGATGGGCGAGCAAACTGAGCCAAGCCTGGATAGATGGGTTCATAGGTCAGATGGATGAGGAGCCATGAAAGATTCACAAAATATTCAGGCCACATGAATGGGTTAGTCATACAGTGGTACCTTGGTTGTCGAACGGCTTGGCTCCCAAACAAATCGGCTCCCGAACGCCGCAAACCCTGCCCAAAGTTGCAGAGTGGGGATATGTTCTCCAAAGAGGTAGAGATCCGCTCATAACTACCCAATCAAACACAAAAAATGATGAGCTGACTCAAAGTTTCACATTTTGGATGATGATCTTGAAAATCAATGATGGAAGAAAATCAACTGTCCAAGCACATTCGAGCCCAGACATTCCTGCTTTTGGAAACTACAAGTGCCAAGGTCTCCACTCAACTGCTCCTGCTCTAGTTATGCTGCAAGACTCCCATTTTTCTCTCGGCTTGTGTAAGAATTTCCCTGCTGATAACACTGGAAGGATGGAGACGTGAGCAGGCAGGAGTTCAATAGAATAGATGGAAGAAATCACTGCCACAAGCAAAGGACAGCAATGAATGTACAGTGGAATACTGGTTCTCAAACGGCTTAGTTGATGAACAAATCAGCTCCCAAACATAGAAAACCCAGAAGTAAGTGTTCCGGTTTTTGAACGTTCTTCGGAAGCCAAACATCCAGCGCAGCTGTCAGCTATTGTTTCTGGGGCACCTGCACCAATCGGAAGCTGCGCCTTGGTTTTCAAACATTTTGGAAGTCAAATGGACTTCCGGAACAGATTACATTCAAGAACCAAGGTACCACTGTAGAGACAAACACAAGCCCTCATGCAAAGAAAAATGCAAATTTATATGCACATTCATGTAAATGGCTAGAGGCAACATCAGAGCCAACAAATATTTGACATACTGGCACTTCTTGATGGTTTTTGAAGATGGTGGATCTAAAATTGTGGTACTGGCAAGTTAACCCAGTTAACCCAGTATTAGATAAAAGTGTTTGCGTCCAGTGAAACAAAGGAAGAGAGTAACAGATGACATTACAGAATGTCCTACCTCTCTCATCAGAATTAGAAGAGACCCCATATTTAGAAGAGACCCCATGGGCTGCCAGGGTGCGGCCTCAGCCATCTACAACTTCCTTCCCACACCTACTCCCTGGTTACTCCTTGCTTCAATGTTAGCAGGTGGTCTGCTTAGTGCACTCGTTAGCATTCAGTTTGGTGCTTAGAACTCCAGATTCAAATCGCTCCTCAACCATGAAGCTCACTGTGTGGCCTTTCTAAACCACTTTGCACAACAAGTTTATCAGAAACAAGCTGATAAGAATTGGATGAACTGGTCCTTTAGGCAGAGTGCCGGAAAAGGGAGAAGGAGAGCTCTCCCAACAGAGTGAAGTTACTCTGTAGGACTAGGCACAACCATTACACGGGGAGAGGGTTCCCAAAGATCCTACACCAAGCCACTAATCCAAAATTTAGATAATATTAATTGTTATAGAAGCCATAGATGATCTTGCAGGCGTGAAGTTTGTGTATAATGGATTTTGTAGTCTATGTTAGACTGGAAGAAAAAGGAGGAATAATAGTAATGGTAGTACGTGGGTGGCACTGTGGGTTAAACCACAGAGCCTAGGACTTGCTGATCAGAAAGTCGGGGGTTCGAATCCCTGTGACGGGGTGAGCTCCCGTTGCTCAGTCCCTGCTCCTGCCAACCTAGCAGTTCGAAAGCACATCAAAGTGCAAGTAGATAAATAGGTACCGCTCCGGCGGGAAGGTAAACGGCGTTTCCGTGCGCTGCTCTGGTTCGCAAGAAGTGGCTTAGTCATGCTGGCCACGTGACCAATAAAGCGAGATGAGCGCTGCAACCCCAGAGTCGGCCACGACTGGACCTAATGGTCAGGGGTCCCTTTACCTTTTAACAGTAGTACAGAACCCATGATTCAACATAATTCTATCATTTATATCATTAAGGGCAGGACAGATGGTAGCAGATAGAATCCACTGGGCAATGTGAATTTTTAAATGGCAACCCATAGCCTGGCTTTAAGTAAGGAATTGTCAAAGTGGAATTGCACCGTGATGGAATTCCTACAATGTGGGTTTCCTACATCACTACCTGCAATTGCAATTACTACAATGACAGGCAAATTTAGGAACAGATGCCTTTGGATTCTTGCACCATGGGTTGATGACAAAGTGTAGAAATATGAGTGGTGGGTGAAGGAACGGCTGAAGTTATGGGATATTTTATGTTGAACACTGGAAATGACATCTCTTTCTTCCCTCACAGAGACGACTGTGTCAGCAGATGTTGATTATAGTGATGAGAAAAAGGAGGAACTGGATAACTTGTGGGTGACCATCTTTGTTTTCTTCCTTCTCTTCATCCTCAGTGTTTGCTATAGTGCCACCGTGACACTGTTCAAAGTGAGTAGAGGAGAAGCGATACTACATATCCACACTTGCATCTTACATAAACACTGCAGAGATGGGGAGGAGAGACAAAATAATAATAATAAATAATTAAAAAATTATTTATACCCCGCCCTCCCTGGCCAGAACCGGGCTCAGGGCGTCTAACACCAATAAAATTACAATAAAATGTAATAGGGGAAAAAAGTTACTTGAATGACGGGTTAAAATACAATTTAAAATGCAGCCTCATTTTAGTAGTAGCCCATAAATCAAAACCATAAGGGGAGGGAAACATAAGGGTCAGACTGAGTCCAAACCAAAGGCCAGGTGGAACAGCTCCGTCTTGTAGGCCCTGCGGAAAGATGTCAAATCCCGCAGGGCCCTGGTCTCTTGTGACAGAGCGTTCCACCAAGTCGGGACCAGTACTGAAAAGGCCCTGGCCCTAGTTGAGACCAATCTAACCACCTTGCAGCTCGGGACCTCCAAAGTGTTGTTATTTGTGGACCTTAAGGTCCTCCGTGGGGCATACCAGGAGAGGTGGTCCCGTAGGTACGAGGGTCCTAGGATAAGGCTGAAATATTAGTACTGTTTATCGTAAATTAGTGAATGGTTCTGTGGAGGACTTAGCATATACCTTTACACTGTGTCAAACAGTCCATTAAAATCAGAAGAATGGATGAAGAAAAAGATTTGACTTGTTGGTTGGCAAGACAAGTTGAGGAATAGGAGGATGGGGAAAAGATGACAAGGAAAGATTTTATTATACATTGCCAAAAGGACGTACTTCTTCATAGTTAAACAGTGGAATTTGCTCCCCCAAGAGGCAATGTTGGCCATTCAACTTGGAACACTTTAAAAGAGGGTTAGACAAATTAATGGATAAAGTTAAGACTGACTAATACCCTCAAAGACAATGTTTTACTTCCATTGTTGAAGGCAGCATGCCTCCTAGAACAACTTGTGAGTATAGCACCTTCAAGTCCTGCTTTGAGGCTTCCAACGGGGGCATCTGATTGGTCACTAATAACAAATAGAACTTGCATATTATTATTCTTCCATGCTCATGTCTGTTCTATGTCTTTCTTTATCCCCACCCCCACTCCTTCCCACAGGTAAAATGGCTCTTCTCTAGGATGCTGCAGCTGAAGAAGCAGCCACCAGGCCCTGACTATAAGAATGTGATCCAACGAATGGCCTAGAAGCATCTTCCTGGGAGTTTGCCCTACACTTTGGGAGGTGCAAAGAAGAAGTCACTGGCTGGAGACAGGACTCCATCTCCAGTATAAACACCTTACGTTTCTCTCTAACAGCCCAAGTTCTTCCCTGGCAAGTAGATATGAAGCCCTGTCCACTCAGGGACTTGTCATGTGAGAGAGGCAATTTTGCTAAAGCCTAGAGCACTGCACTCCCTAGATATCTGATTTCCACAGTCAAGGAGAGTGGAACCAGTTCTCCCACCTAACGTGCGATTGTAAAGCATGGAGGCAGACACAGGCCTTGAGAAAGGTGCTTTGGCATGCCAACTTAGAAGTAAATCCTACTGAATTCAATGGGATGAACTTCTCAGTGTGCATAGGACTTCAGCCTTTGTGTCTTGAGCTACACTGAGTACCTTCAGTCCTTACTTCCACTGCAACCTCCCCATTTCAGAGCTTCAGGCCTCCTCTCCATCCCATGTGAAATCCTATTCTGTTCATCCAATGTCCCTGCTTCACTAGCAGGCTTCCAGCCTCAGGAAGCCATGAGTGTCTCTGACCTGTTCTATTATAGTCAGATCCACTTATGTACAGTAAATAAACATCCTATAACTCTTTCCATATACTTAAACAAACCAATTTTATGACCCACCTACCACTACTGTGTTCTTCATGAGACCCACGACTAGCACTGAGGACATTTCTGCTATTTTCATATACTGTATTGCATGTTTTGTGGTCATAAATATATTTACTAGACAATAATAAAAACACAAATAAAGAAAATCATCTTCTGAAGGTTTTTATTTGTTTTTGTTCCTCCTTCACATACTTTCAGGAAGGAATTTCATCCTCTTTTGAAAATTCTGCCTGTTGTCCTTCATTCCCATAAAATCAGTGGCAGAGGAATCTGAAGACTCCAGGTGTCGTTGGACCCAGTGTAGCACCCTGCTTGTGGTTAACGCTTAGCTGGAATGAAATATTCAACACAGCAATAGAGAAATTAAAATAATAATTTATTTGTCAGACAAATAAATGAGAGGCACAGTGGTATATGGTTACCAAGCTCTGGCCTGCCCTCCTGCCATTATGGCCAGCACTTATATTCCCTTAATCCAGCCCCCTTTGCTCCTCCTGTGGCTGCCTCTGTCCAATCAGCCTGGTTGAAATTCCTATTGGCTGATTGCTATAACCAATCCTAAAAGATACACCCATATCCTCCTGTCCTTATATGGAACACAAAGAGCTATATATTGTTACATCTATAAATGACAAATAAGTAGTAATATATCTTACATGTGTCTCAACAAGGAATCTTAATTACCAGCTCACCTCTTGCCCTCCTTGCCCTATTGCCTTCTAAAACAAATGGTTAATCTTAAATTTTTATCTTAAACATATGTCAAGGATCTTGAGTTCACATCAACATTGAAAGATCTCCTTCATTTGAAGGTTTCTAAACAAATGCCTGACAACTATATATCAGGAGTGCTCGATGGCGTCTCCTGTCTGGCAGGGGGGCTAGGCTGGTGGCTGACTTAATTTCAGGATAAATACAACTCTTACAACTATATGAAATAAGAATCTAGCATTTCTTAAATCCTTTGCATAATTACATTTAAGCCAATATATTTAATACATAACATAGGTAGCCTTTTAAAAGGAATAAGGCCTTTGTAAAGTAAAAAAAAGGAACTCAGTAAAAAACAGCTTCAAAAGAAGCCTCTTCAGTTTACACCCCCCTTCAGCCAGCTGCTTTTCCCATTAGCTCTTCCCAACATTTATTGCCCTTTAACTCTCTCAGTTTAAGAAAGAAACAGCTTTAGAAAAGACTTCCCAAAAATGCTCTCTTTCTGCCAGCTAGATGCTTCTCCATTGCTCTTGGCCTTTTTAACCTTAGGAAGAAGATCTGGCTCATTTTACTGGGAGGCACATTGGTATTATTTTACTATTTACTCATTCCTAATTATGTTTATCTCTGCCTTTTTTATCTTCTGTAACATGTAGGGTCAATGTCCTCGCTCTCAGCCTGTAATTCCCCCTTTTACGACTTTGAGAATTGTTTTCTGCTATAAATCAAGGGGCCCCTTGTCTAGGAGGAAAACATTGCCAAGGTTCTCTAAGCAGCTGGTCTTCTGCCTGGCATGAAACATTTGAAAATCTTTAAGCTCTCTTTAATATACAAGCCCTGATCAAACATTAATAAAATGCAGGCTTATGATTAGATGCCTCACCAGCAGTAACAGCCAAAATAACAAATGGTCGAGGATGATGGGTTTTGTAGTCCAACAACCTCTGGAGGACCATAGTTTCCCCTGCCAGTTTGCATTTCTTAGTGCAGAAAGTATTGATCTGATGTGTAGAGATCTTTCCTATTCTAATTAATTCAAGAGGGTTCTGGAAGCTTCTCTGTGTGAAAGAAGCAAGTGGAAGGTTCATAATGTTTGGGTTATACCTTCAGATAACAATAATAACAATAATAACAATAATAACAACAATAATAACAATAATAATTTATTTATATCCCGCCCTCCCCGGCCAAAGCAGGGCTCAGTATAGCTGGCTTAAACTGGTTCTCTTATCTCTTTCTGTCAGGGTCATGCTGACTATAAAAATAGACCAGAAGGAACCTAGGTTTCACTTTCACTTTCTATCTCTTTTCCTCCTAGGACAGTATGGGGTTCTGTACATGTGTTTAGTGTTAAGGCTTAGACTTATTACAAGTTATTGTAAGTGTAAGTCAAGTCTGCTGCTACTGGATTTCTTATGGTCAGTGCCAAGTCTGAATGTATTGGATTTGTGACCATTACACTCATTTGCCTTCAGTAGCAGTAAAGCTCTGCTGGATGAAATATTCATCGTCTCTGGTCTATTTTTTGGGAATCCTGCACCATGTTTAAGGTTTTGCTCTGCTAACTATACGTCAGAGTTCTGCTCTGGATCATATTGAGTAGAATTTCAATGAAATCCTCCCCTTTTACTGACATCTTGGATTGCCTGGACTCTTACACAGAGACTCTTACAACTTCTATCTGTTCCTTCAAAGGCTTTCTCAAAGCTCACCTTTTCCCTAAACCCCTTTGGCCCTTCAGGCTCATCCATGACTCAGAGGAAGCCAGATACTAGAGGAGAGAAAGATGTTTTTAAAAGCCTTCACTCTTGTTTTGTAAATTTATGCCACCTTTACTACTGGGATGAAGCCTTGACAGGCTCCTGTTGTGGTGCAAAAAGAAAACAAACCCACAATTTGTTTCACCTGATGGGACATTTCCAACACACATGAAGCCTTGGATAAACCTTTCTACTTAAAAGGCTTATTGAAAGAAGAAAGCCCTTGGGTGCCCTATCATAATATGTAATGGAAAGAAAGTCCAAAGGGTAGATACGACCTCACAAATGGCCCATTTTTATATCGTATGGAATGAATCTCCAAATAAAATTGTCTCTGCAGGCGCCCCTCACCTGCAGAACACTTGGTGATCATTTGGGACAATGCAAAGGGAGTAAAACTATGATACAGTGGTACCTCAGGTTACATACGCTTCAGGTTACATACGCTTCAAGTTACAGACTCCGCTAACCCAGAAATAGTACCTCGGGTTAAGAACTTTGCTTTAGGATGAGAACAGAAATCGTGCTCTGGCAGCGCGGCGGCAGGAGGAGGCCCCGTTAGCTAAAGTGGTGCTTCAGGTTAAGAACAGTTTCAGGTTAAGAACTGCCCTCCGGAACAAATTAAGTACTTAACCCAAGGTACCACTGTATTCAGCTTCAGGAAGCAAACTTAGCTTGAGCATTTCTCTGCTATCACTCTTTGCATTTCTCAGTTTCTAGTCCCACCGATGCAGTGGTGGGAATCACTGTCCTCTGAGCCCTCAAAAATGCCCCAAAGGAAGATTGTATTCTGCCAACAGCCAATTAGTTACTATTTAAGGGATATCATTCCTTATATTCACAACTACCAGGAAGTTTCCATACTTTCCACAGGTGCCAAAACCAACTGTATGGCACCAGGTTAAAGAAAGCTGGTTTTAAAATGTGTGGGGGTTTTTAATCCCATCAGAGACTTCCAAATAAAACCCCACAGCCCTCTCCTTACTGACTGGCATTTTCCATCATCCCAAGCCAGCATGAGAAGGGTGATAGGAGTTGCAATCCAGCAACATCTGGAAGGCAGAAGACTGCTACCACAGAACACCACAAAGCACTTAAAACACATGCAACTCCCATTGGTTGCAAAGCAATAATGCGGGATACTTTTGACTCAGTGACGAAGCTCTGCATATATGTTTATAATGAAGAAATGTTAAACAACCTCTGTGGCGGAGTTGTAGGCCTTGCTTTGTTATGATGCCGCAAGCCTGTGTAGCAGCGGTTCTTAGTGACAGCTACTGAGAAAGAGGCACAATCAGTGCCCTGTGAGAAAGGTGGTAAATGTAATTAACTGGTAACTAATAAATGATTGGTTTAATTAAGAAGCATGTTAGCAAGTAGAAACAAATGGTTGGAATTCTTTTCCTTGGCCAGGTTAACTCCAAATTTTGCTACTTCATAGCAACTGAAAGTCTGGATTTTGAAAACAAGAAAACAAGTCAACACAAACAAATAAGAGTGGGGAGAAAGGGAAGTTGTGTTGTAGGCAAAAGTTTCATTGTTTAATAATTTTATATCTTATAAATCAAGGTGGTTCGCGCGTAAGATTAAGCCAAACCATGGCCTAGCTCATTGCAGCATAGAGAGAAACATGATTAAGTTTAATTAACTGATAATTAATAGATCCTTAATTAATTAAGAATTAGGTAAGTAAGTGAAAACAAATGGCTGGAGTTTTTCCTTGGCAAGGTTAAGTGCAACAATTTTTGCTATTTCACAGCCCTATGTATCTCAGGAAATAAATGCCTGGATTTTGAAAACAAGTCAACAAGTCAACACAAACAACCGGGGGTGGGGAGGGGAAGCTGTGTGCGGATGAATGTTTCATATGACCAGTTTTGGATCCCAATTATAGCCCCTAGGCCTCACTCAACCATGCTAAAAAAATTATTTCAGAACTTCATGTCAGCTCCAAGGACGTCATAACTGTAATTTCTTTTTTTGGCTTCTTTTCTGAGAGCACGATTAGGGGGAAAATCTCTGAAGCCCCCATTAGAACAGAAATGACATCCAAAGGGAAACAGGTGGCAGGTCAGTAGCAAAGGACCACTTGCTTCAATCAACTCCAGACTTTGGTTGGGTGAGTAAGAAAAGGTTTGATTATGTGTATTTTGGAACTCGCTCCGCACAGAAATACATCCAGCATCCTTACACTTAAAGTATTTTGTTTTGAGGGACCCAACTCTACAATTCTATGGTTCTATGACTCACCTTTTTGTGGGATTTATATTGCTCCATTTTGCTTGATGTTTTTGCCTTACCTGTCTTATCATTGTAATGGTTTTATCTGTTTTAGAAGTGCGCATCTTTTTGTTTTCACCCGCATTGGGACCTTAAGGTGAAGGGCAGGTAAGTAGCATTATAACTCAATAAATAATACTTTGGGGCTCTGGAAAGATCGAAATATAGATAAGCCAGAGGAAGGCAATTTCCGAAATCAATCCCTGTCTCCAGGCACAGGGTGACTGAAAACAAGCCTAGGAACGTGGACTAGCATTTCTCAGTGGGCTTCCAACCTCGGATAAAATGTAAGGTATAAACGTGATAAATAAATATTTGTGTTTTAGGTGTCTTGTATTGATATTCAGGCCCCCGGCTGAGACTGAACTGTAAGGCTTGCTTGCCTCCACCCTTCAGCTGGGCATCTCCAAATCAGGCACCAGCTTAATGTCAGTCAGTTGGAGCAGGCGGAAAGGGTAGCCTAGATCCATCCCATCAGCTTCCCTGGAGATAAGCAAGGAGTGTCTGGTTTACTTACCAGAAACTTGGCATGTGAATGCTTCAGGGAGAGCAGATGCACGTGAACCTGATCCAAGTACTGAGGGAAGCTCCCTGCAGAGCAAGAGGCCTTCTCAGATGGAGTTATTTGCCATCTTGCCCTACCCTAAGTGCTGCCCTCCTCTCCATTACACATTTAAGCTTATGGAAGCTCTTGTGGGGTGGAAAGAGCTTCACCTGAAAGCCTGGACCAAGCCTGGTTCATAGAATCATAGAACTGTAGAGTTGGAAGGGACCCTGAAGATCATGTTGGAATATGCAGCTGTCCCATACGAGGATCAAACCTGCAACCTTGGTGTTATCAGCACCACGCTCTAACCAACCAAGCTATCCCAGTCAAGAGATCTCCGATTCCCTGGCAAAACACCGGCTTGCTTCAACGAAGTTAGTGTGGAGTAGTTACAGGTAGGTAGCCGTGTTGGTCTGCCAAAGTCAAAATAAATAAAAAAAAATCCTTCCATAGCACCTTAGAGACCAACTAAGTTTGCTATTGGTATGAGTTTTCATGTGCATGCACACTTCTTCAGATACCTTGCACATGAAAGCTCATACCAATAACAAACTTAGTTGATCTCTAAGGTGCTACTGGAAGGAATTTTTTAATAGTGTGGAGTAGGTGAGCTTCAATGTACCTGAGACAGAAAAAGTGGGCTACTTTAAAAGCTTTCCCCAGACTTATCCTCCCATTTGGGAGGTTTTTCACTTCCTGTGTGAGCATAATGTTCCGTGCAGCCATCGGAGAGAAAGGTAGCAACCTCTCCGGAAGGCTGACAATTATAAAGAAAATTCTTCCCCTCCTAGCTGAGCAGGGTGCATGTAAGAATCTGCTGATGAGCAAATGGACCCTGGATGTCTTCTTGGAGTTGGGTGATCAGGTGCACTGTTGCCACCTCATCCTCCCAGATGGGTACCAGTTTTCAAGGAAGCTGACAGGGAGCACGGGAGATATCTGAAATGTCAGCCCCAAGCCTAACATTCAGCTAGGAGATCGCTGAGCACCCCCGGTAAGTGTCAGGTTTCCAAGAAGCTGCCAGAGAGGAAGGGGCTTGCCTGACCTCCTAGATGAGCACAGCAGGCTTCGCTGAGCTACACAATAAGCTGCCCTAAGCCTGGTGCTTAGTTGGGATTTTCAGCTTTGAGAAACCTGACCTGGGGCAGGTTAGGTGCCCAAGCTCAGCTGGGACATTCCTGCCCTCCCAGGTGAGCAACTGGCTTCACAAAGCTGTCAGCAAGCCAGGGGGATACCAGAAAGTCTTTTGCAAGCATGATGCTCAGCCGAAAGATTTCTGACCTCCCAGGAGAGTCCCAGGCTTCAGTGAAGTGGGAAGGCAGTGAGGAGGCTACCTGAAAGCTTTCCTGGAGCCTGATACTCAGCTGTGAGAATCCTGGCCACCCACCTTTGCATTATGCTTCAAGGTAGCTTCCTGGAGGGGAAACCGGGAGGAATATCTGGCTCAGCTATAGGCTTCGGGGAATCTGGTTTGGAGAAAAAGGCTCTCTACCTTAGCCGGCCTGGTGTTCAGCTGGGCAATTGCTTGTCCCCCAGCGTGAGTATCTGGCTTCAGGGGCGTCACCAGGGAGCAATGTTTTCCAACTCTTTGGAAGCAGCTCTGGGCTAACTCCAAAACAGCAAGCGCAAACAAGGAACCAGAAGGTTGAAGAAGGAGGGCTCTGAGGAGCCGAGGCTCCTGGGTCCTGCTCTCTGCTCCAAAAGTCAGGGGGTGCCCTTTGGAGGAGAAAGACCCCTTCCCAACCATTGTCAGAGCTGAGGCAGGCAGGACCCCTGGATTCTGGCTGCAGTGAACTGAGGAGTAGGACAGAGCAACTTAGGGCACTTCTGAAAGCCTAAATTCTCCATAGCTGACTTATTCCTACTCCCAGGAAAACAGGTAGGGGAAACAATCTTGTTTTAGCCAAGTGTTTTAGAGCAACAGCAGGACTGGGATGCATTTAAAAAGGGGTAGGATTGGCTCCTGTCCCCATGGAGGGGTGTGGAGCAACAAATTTGAAGCCCCAGCTTTGGAAAGGAAAGGTAAGCTGGAGCAGGTGAGAGCCAGGGCTCCTGGGTTCTGTTCTCAGCTCTGGGCGAGGGTGGGAAGGACTTTGTTTTGACCCAAAATTTTCAAATTCCATCCCTATCTATGTGAGGTTTCCTGAGTTATAAAGCAGGAAGAGGACATTTCCAGAAGGCTTATCTGTAGCTTGTCAAGAGGCAGCGTGGCTCTGAATGCCAGTTGCTGGGCAATCACAAGTGGGGAGAGCACTGTTGCACTTAGGTCATGTCTGTGGGATTTCCATGAGCATCTTGTTGCCCGGTGAATGGGATGATGCACTAGGTGGACCATTGGCCCAGTCCAGGAGTATGCTTCCTATGTCGTGTCTGAAGGGCCCTAGAAAGCCATAGCAGTGGGGTGTTGAGACCCAGCAGCTGTGGGTTGTATGTCAGAAGGAAAGTTAGCTATGGCAGTCTAGAATAAAAGGAAGCCCAAGCTTTGTAAGGAGCGTGTTTTGTTTGTGCAGGGAATTGGGACTCCGCCTAAGCTCTTATGTGAACATAGGAAGCTGCCTTGTACTGAGTCAGGTCATTGGTCCACCTAGTCCAGGGCTATCTAAACCGACTGGCAGTGGTTCTCCATGGTTTCGTTCCTGGTTGTAAGTAGAGATTCCCTGAACCAACTAGGCTGCAATGGGTTACAAAGCACCAGCGTTGCCTAATGGTTTAGAGCAAGGCAGCTTATCGGGAGCAAAGTTTTTGGCAGCTCTGTTTAGGCAGATGGCTCAGGTGTTCAGAGCACATCTTAGTAGGAAGGGGGGGGATTTAATGGCTTAGAGTGGTCCTAAGGACTCAGCCAACCACTGCACAGAAAGTGGGGATGCTTCAGCTTAGAGAGGAGTCCCTTCCACACCTCAAAAACACACCTTCAAAGGAAATGGAGTACAAAGTTTGCTTGGGTTCCTGCTTTCTATCTGCAACATTCGCAGGGAAGGTTAGCCAGCAGAGTAGGTTTGCCTTGGGAAGAGGCTGCTAGGCTGATCCGCACACAAGAAGCCCCCAGCTTGCATGAGGGGCATGGGGTATTGCTGGCAGGTGAGAGCAGAGAGTTCTCATAAGCGTTCCTGAGTTCTAAAAGATGGCTGAGAGCTGGAGTGTTGAGGGAGGGTGTGCAAGCCAAGACCCCAGGGTCCTAGTGCAAACTGGTAGAGAAGAGAGAAAGTGGAGGACAGCAGATCAGCTGGCTGGGCACAGACAAGCCAGACTGCCTGGCCTCTGCTCCAATGAGTTATTGCCAAGTGAGCTGGGAACCAGGATTTCTGGGTTCTAGGGCCAGCTCTGAAAGCCACACTGAGAAGCCAGAGTCTGAAAATGGAGTTGAGAGGATGTGGGTTGATGAGACTCCTCAGTGAGAGGCAGTGTTGTGTAGCGGTTAGGGTGTCTTGCTAGGACCTGGGTGATCAGGGTTCAAATCTCCACTCAGCCATGAAGCTCATTGGGTGACCTTGGGCCAGTCACTGACTCTTAGCCTAGCCTATTTCACAGGGTTGTTGAGAGGATAAAATGGGGATCAGAACTATGTACGCCACCGTGAGCTTGCTGGAGGAAAGGTGGGATAGAAATGCAATCAATCAATCAATCAATCCTCAAGTGGCCAGGTGCAAAAGAGGCAGGGCTCTTGCAGTGTTTATGATTGCCTAGAAAAGGGGATTTCAGCACGGGGGATTTCCGTTGGCAATGAGACCTGGCAGGGGCAATGCTGCCAGGGAGTGAGGATCTGGCCAGCAGGAGGGCAAAGGACTGGTGGGGATTAGGGTTGCTGCCTGCTTTTCTGACTCTACTTCTGTACCTGTAACAGTAGTCTGAGAGGCAGAGAAATTCTGCAATGAAAGTATATCCTGGCGTCAAAATTTTCTCCTGCTAAATTGTGCTTTGTGTGTGTCAGGCACTCACAAAAATGTGCCAACCCCAGGTAGAAAGACAACGTGGTTTTCAACTGTGGGACACAATCAGTGCAAAGAGGGGGCAGAAAAGACCTGCTGACGTTGCTCCGTGGTTTCTGTACATTGAAATGTGGGGAGGACAAAGCCCAATATTTAGTTTAAGCCAATGCTTTCCCCTACTGAAAAGTTCATTTCTAACTTTAGATTGTGTGAGTTAATAATATAAGGCTAATAAGAATATAAAGGGACGCGGGTGGCGCTGTGGGTAAAACCTCAGCGCCTAGGACTTGCTGATCGCATGGTCGGCGGTTCGAATCCCCACGGCGGGGTGCGCTCCTGTCGCTCGGTCCCAGCGCCTGCCAACCTAGCAGTTTGAAAGCACCCCCGGGCGCAAGTAGATAAATAGGGACCGCTTGCCAGCGGGAAGGTAAACGGCGTTCTGTGTGCTGCGCTGGCTCGCCAGATGCAGCTTGTCACGCTGGCCACGTGACCCGGAAGTGTCTGCGGACAGCGCTGGCTCCCGGCCTCTAGAGTGAGATGAGCGCACAACCCTAGAGTCTGTCAAGACTGGCCCGTACGGGCAGGGGTACCTTTACCTTTAATAAGAATATAAAGTTAATACTAACAAGGAGGGGGTTTCCAACCAATCAGGGAGGAAAACTTGGTTTGCTGTTGTTTAACAGCCACCTAATTGGCAGAAAATCAGTAATGTCTGCAGATGGACTGATTGTTACAAAGACAGGCCCCTGGCTTCTTAACCTCCTCACACACACATCTCAGCAATGCTTTTTAAGCAAACTTAATCAAACTCTTTTGTACAAAACTCAGCTAACCCTGATGGGTCAAGTGGGGAGCCATCAAAGGGACCAGAACAGGGAATGAGAGTCGCAATGAACTGAAGGAGGCATGTGTGAATATTATGGGGTGGCAGGTATGAGTCAGCAGGAAAACTATGGTCAATACACAACTTTTTTTACAGGGCCCTGAGCCTAACAATTCAAGTGGGGAGTTCTCAGGTGGTTCACAGACCTGCAATGAATTGAATCCAAGTTCCCGGGATTCTTTGGGGGAACCCATATGCTTTAAATGTATAGCTTGGGTGTGACCAAAATGGCAAACAGTAAGAGAAAATACGAAGCTCCTTTCATTAGTGCAGCTACATCACTGCTGCATCTGCATGCTGTGGGGAAAACTTCACCTGCTGAATTTATGCCCTGCTGATGGAAGTTGTTGCCCAAAACTTTTGGCAGGAACTTGGCTGGCTTAAGACTGCACTAGAAGGAAAATGCTAGGCCAAGAATGGGGCACCTGTGGCCCTACAGATACATCTCCCATCACCCCTGCCCTTTGGCAATGCTGGCTGTGGCTGATGGGAGTTGGAGCCCGGCGACATCTGGAAGGCCCTGGTCCCTGGGCTGCCCAAAAGACCATTATTTCTGGGATATTTTGGGCCTGTAAAACTCCATTTGTTGATAACTTGCATGGACTCTTCAAAATATTGAGCATAATATGGAACAGATTGAAATTGATTGTACAATTTATTATTGGTATTAGTAATAGTATTTAGTATCGCCATCAGCTGGTGCAGTTCAAATGTTCTCTACCACCAGTTGCTTGTTGTTTTTTTCCATTTTTCTTCTTAAAAAGTTCTGCTGAACAGTTTTTCCATTTTTCTTCTAAATGCTTCTATTTGCTCTACCTTTTGCTGAATACAAGAGGGTGGTAAACAGGATGCAGGACATCTGGGCAGATACAGATGGTGCTGAAATAAGAGGAAGTGAAACAGAAAACAGAGCTAAAACAGGCCATGAGTGTTGAGACCTGGTTGATGGTAGTAAAAATGATACCTAGGACAAATATCTGGATCTTCATCTGAAGTTCATTTATAGGCCCAAATGATCCTAGGAAGTGTGCTTTTGAAACCAAGCATTGTGACTGAAGTATGTGTCTGCTCTTCTCCTTCTGCACACTAATTAAAAATATTAAACTACTTTTATCTCCTCAAAAGGCTTCAGTGAGAGTATATACACACCATGCATTTAAAGCACACTCTTAACCCAAAGAATTCTGGGAACTTTGGCCTCGCAGAACTACAATTCCAGGCACCCTTAACAAACTTATTCCCAGGATCCTTTGGGAGAAATCATGTCCCCTAAATGTATGGTGTTGGAGTCTAGCAGTAAACAATAAAATTCCATTAAAAACTTTTTAAAAGGAGCAACAATTACAATAAGAATCAAAATGCACCCAGTAAAACTTTCAAAAGCTAGCAGGTGCGGTCTCTCTCTCTCTCTCTCACACACACACACACACACACACACACAAACACACACAGAGAGCAGCAGCAGCAGCTAATGTTTTTGCCACAATTTTAATTCCATGTCTGCTAAATTTCCTAGTATTTGGCATTGGAACAGAGTCAGTTTTTAAAAGGTGAGGGGCTGTAAGTAAAAATTTTATATTTTTGTTCGTGTGGTGGCTCTAGCTGTTTATAATTTAGAAGCTATTGAGCCATGCAAGGTTCTTCTTCAGAATTAAAGTCACCTTCTGGTCTAGTGGTCACAGAAACACATCCCTTTCCTGTAACCCACCCTTCTGAGTCCCCCCTGTCCCCCGCTAATGTTCCACTGATCCTTCCGCATTGCCACAGAAGCATGTCCTTTTCTCACAGACAGGACCCCACCCACTTGGGCACCCATGAAATGCAAAATAAAATGTCTCCCATATTTAATTTCATATGTTAGCTTAAGGGGAGAAATATTACCTTGTCACAAAGCTATGCACAATCACTTGGGGTCAACTAATTAACTCTGTGGGGTATACTTCACAGTGAGCCTTCGTAGGATTGCACTGTAAATGGATGTCAAATCAAATTATAGTAGAATCCCATGCATGTTTCCTCAGAAGTAATACCCACTGTGTTCACTGAGGATTATTCCTTTGGGAAGTGTGTGCAGGATGTTTTGGGAAGTGTGTGCGGCCTTAGAGTTAGTGGTTGTTCAAGGTTGGATCATGTATTCTACATGTGTGAGAGTATATGAGTGGCTTTTTAATGGATTAGTTTAGAACATAGGGAGAGTTATGTTGGATGAGGCCAATGGCTCATCTGGTCCAGCATAGGTTTATCTTCCGAGGCAGATAATTTTGTCAAAGGTTGTTAATCAGGTCTGAGTGTTTTCTCCATAGAACTCAGCACTGTAAGGTTTTCAAACCTCACAACTGTGAAAATAAGCTTGAAAGTGGTTGGGCAGTGCCTGGGAACAAATCTTGGAAGATGGCATAAGGGTGCTGAATATGCTTCTCAGAAGTTTCCTTATCCCTGGGATGACAAGAAACCGCAAGTCAATTTATGCAATAATTCCAGGTAGCCTTCACAGCTTTGGACCAGGGCTGAACACCAGATTCACTTGTCATGGAAGTGAACAATATAGTGGTACCTCTGGTTACGTACTTGATTCGTTCCGGAAGTCCGTTCTTAACCTGAAGCACCTCTTTAGCTAATGAGGCCTGCCACTGCTGCCGCACTGCTGCCACACGATTTCTGTTCTCATCCTGAAGCAAAGTTCTTAACCTGAGGTACTATTTCTAGGTTGCAGAGTCTGTAACCTGAAGCGTATGTAACCCGAGGTACCACTGTATCTTGTTTCCCGCTCTTGGCAAGGAGACACAAATGCTTGCCCAAGGAACAGATTGTCATCGCATCTTTTTCTTCATTTGCAGCATCTCCCACAGCCCCAGTCGTCTTCCCATTGTCTCCCTGTTGCCAAGACCTCACCACTGCCTCCCAGGTTACCGTGGGCTGTCTGGTCTCTGGCTACTTTCCCGAACCAGTCAAAGTACAGTGGAATTCAGGATCCTCGTCTGACATCCGGACCTTCCCTGCTCTATTGGATTCATCCAGGGGCCACTACACCCTCAGCAGCCAGCTCACCATCCCAACCAGCACTTGGGAATCAGAGAAGCTTCAATGCCATATTGTACATACAGCTACCAGCTCCACAATCAACAAAGAGATTGGACGTTAGTCTGGTTGAGCCTTTGTTATCTGCTTTCTTCCTCCTTCAGTATTTGTTGGGTGGAGCAGAAAGAAATGAAATATGGATTGTGTGGGTGAAGGGATGGATAACGATTGCAATATTTTTGGTCCTACTATCTGACTTTTGTACCCTCAAAAGCACATTGAGCACTACAGAGAACACTCACAAATATTGTGGGTTGTATCCAACCAAATTCTAATCAAGAGTAGACCCACACATTGAAATTAAGGAACCTAAATCGGCCATGCCCATTAATTTCAGTGGGTATGACTATCAATGGATACAACCCAGCGAGATCAGATGTAGGGAATCCTTGGCCCTCCCGATTTGCTGAACTAAGACTCCCAATTGACCATTCTTACTTATGAGAGTTATATTTCAGCAACATCTGGAGAGCCAAAGGTTCCCCACATGTGCCTGTGATAGACAAGACAGCAGTGGGAAGAAAGGATTTAGAATTATCCAGTTAATAGTGATTCAAATTTAGGGAAAGTCAGGTTGCACCATGACAGATTGTAGCAATAGGTGTCAAAATTCAGCAAAAACACCCTCTTCATTTTTCTTATGAAAATATTAGCAACACGGGATGCTCTGCACACACACATACACACAGAGAGACACTTTCTTAAATTAGTCTTTAAAAAAACAACAACAAAGGGAACGGTGCAATTAACATATGTGATCTCATTTCAACTGTTTATACATAGTTTACCAGCCCTCTTAGTGGTCCTTAGGCCTACTTAGAACCGACAATGAAACAGAAGAGGGAACTGCCCTCCACTGTCCTCCTTGGCACTGGGCGCAGCAAAGTGAAATTTGATGTTTAAGAAAAGAAGTGGGTTTAGTGCAGGGATTCAGAGGAGAAAGAGGAATAAGCTTGATTCCTTCTCTGGGAAAGGCTAGCATAAGGAGAGAGGGAAATGAATACAGGATCCAAAGGAACTAATGGCAGGTGAATTAGAAGCCACTCACATTTAGGGAATTGGGGGGGATTCAGTTCAGTTTGCATTTCAATACAAACTAATTCACACCACCTGGGATAATGCACAAACAGAAAGCCCATTCTCCTAAATTCGTGGTTCTCTGAATTTTGTGATGCAGTTCCCCTGCCCAAAAAGTGTGCAAAAATATACAAAAAATACATATATTCACCAAAAAACAGTGCACACAAATATATTATGTTCAGGAAAATTGTTTCCAGATTGTGTATTTATACAGCAAAACTGCATACAAGACATGAATATTAAGCACAGTTTGTACTAAAATCCTGGCTAATTCTCAACTAAATAATGTAGACATGCGGAGAACTGAATTTAAGTTTGGGGAAATGAGACAGGTGGTTAGGTGCACCGTACATCATTAAAATACAGGTACTCATGTGACTCCCTATACTTCCTATTCTTCCAGCCTGTGAAAAGAAAGATCCCGTAGCCCCAAAGGTCCGCTTGCTCCATTCCTCCTGCAAGGCCAGCTCCAGAGATGCCACCATTGAGTTGATGTGCGTTATCTCCAACTTCTACCCCAATAATGTGACGGTAAATTGGCTGGTGAGTGAGAAACCTATGTCGCAACCCTCTTTCACTGAGCAGCCCTGGAAAGACACCCATGGGTACACCTTCAGTGCCATCAGCACAGTCAACATTAGCCAAGCAGACTGGGAAGATGGGAATGTCTACGTCTGCCAGGTGTCCCACACAGCAACCCAAACTTCTGTGAGAAGCAAAGCCAAGATCTGTGAAGGTAAGAACTCTTGACTCAGTTCTGACTTGGTTAGGTTCGGATGAAGTGGGCATGGACTGAAAAACAGAAAGGCCAAGAGCAAGGGGCTACTTCCATTTTATGGTGGGTTTCCCAATGACCCAGAAATACATCCATCATGGTCCTTTGCTATTTGGAACGGGTTTCTCCAACCTTTTGCCCTACTGGCATATCTGAGGTTTTACTCCATTTATCTGGAACTTGAGAGACTGAACCAACTGGAGGCAGGACTCTGTGTCATAGAGGAGGGCACCAAGCCAGTTTTCCTTTGAAAAATCTTGATAGGTAGCTTTTTCGCACACTCAGATTTCTCCAGTTTAGATTAAATGTTTGTCAGGGAATTGAGGAAACACATTTCTCTTCTTCTGCAGAAGGCAGTTTGGCTTGATTACTTGTGTCACCAGCTGTAAATCTCTCTATGGCACACTGGTGTTGAAAGTGATCCATCGGGGAATCTGGGGAATGGGCAAACACACTAGTTAAAGGGGTGCAAGTTCCAAAAACAACAGAGAACTGGGATTATTCAGCAATGGTAGAAGGTGCTGGAGTTGTTCAAGGGAAGGAAAGGGACTGACAGGAACTCTCAGGTGAGCCAAATGGGGAGCCTGGACTGACTTAGCTGCAGAGCTACTCTGAAAGAGAAGCAAGCAGAGCAGGATAAGATTATGTGAATAGGCTGGGAGGGAAATGGTGGGAGGAGACTTGGGACTTGACATGAGTCTTTGTATTCCCAGACTCCTCAGGAACTCCCCTCAAAGTTTTCATCCTACCCCCAAGCCCCAACGACCTTTACATGGATAAGCAACCCAAACTCAGCTGCATGATAGTCAACTTAGAGAGAGAAGAGGAAGAACTGGAAGTGACCTGGTCACGACAGACAGCAGGAAGTCTAAGCCCTGAGCCACTTGCATGGAGAGAGGAGGTGAATAACACCTTCACCGCATCCAGCTCTGTGATCATTTCC